GGTACAGTGTACGGCACAGCACAGTACACCGCGCTGCACGCCGCTGCTGCGCTGGCTGCTGGCCAACCCGGCAGGCACCTCTGTGCGCCTGCAGGCTGCCACGGCGCTCTGCTTCACCAGGTACAGTGTACGGCACAGCACAGTACACCGCGCTGCACGCCGCTGCTGCGCTGGCTGCTGGCCAACCCGGCAGGCACCTCTGTGCGCCTGCAGGCTGCCACGGCGCTCTGCTTCACCAGGTACAGTGTACGGCACAGCACAGTACACGCCGCTGCTGCGCTGGCTGCTGGCCAACCCGGCAGGCACCTCTGTGCGCCTGCAGGCTGCCACGGCGCTCTGCTTCACCAGGTACAGTGTACGGCACAGCACAGTACACCGCGCTGCACGCCGCTGCTGCGCTGGCTGCTGGCCAACCCGGCAGGCACCTCTGTGCGCCTGCAGGCTGCCACGGCGCTCTGCTTCACCAGGTACAGTGTTCGGCACAGCACAGTACACCGCGCTGCACGCCGCTGCTGCGCTGGCTGCTGGCCAACCCGGCAGGCACCTCTGTGCGCCTGCAGGCTGCCACGGCGCTCTGCTTCACCAGGTACAGTGTACGGCACAGCACAGTACACGCCGCTGCTGCGCTGGCTGCTGGCCAACCCGGCAGGCACCTCTGTGCGCCTGCAGGCTGCCACGGCGCTCTGCTTCACCAGGTACAGTGTACGGCACAGCACAGTACACCGCGCTGCACGCCGCTGCTGCGCTGGCTGCTGGCCAACCCGGCAGGCACCTCTGTGCGCCTGCAGGCTGCCACGGCGCTCTGCTTCACCAGGTACAGTGTACGGCACAGCACAGTACACCGCGCTGCACGCCGCTGCTGCGCTGGCTGCTGGCCAACCCGGCAGGCACCTCTGTGCGCCTGCAGGCTGCCACGGCGCTCTGCTTCACCAGGTACAGTGTACGGCACAGCACAGTACACCGCGCTGCACGCCGCTGCTGCGCTGGCTGCTGGCCAACCCGGCAGGCACCTCTGTGCGCCTGCAGGCTGCCACGGCGCTCTGCTTCACCAGGTACAGTGTACGGCATAGCACAGTACACCGCACAGTACACGGCACAGTTAGGTTGTGAGATTAAGGTACTGACCAATTCGTTATGTTGTATAAAAGTAAGTTCAAGTGACCGTATATGAATCACTATAAGTTATACAGGTAGATGTCATAATATAAGGTCGAGTAAAAAGTTTCTTCGTATTTTGTTTGTATAAAATTGAAGAAAATGTACTAGTTACACTTACTTTTAGTTTTACTTTACTTGAGTTGTTAACCGTGTAGTGGCAGTGTACTCATATCGTCCAAAAAGTCTCATAAACAGAGAGAAAATGAAACAGGAGATGGGTAACAGCTTATTCATGATAGTGACTCTGATAGTGAATGCGAGTGAATAATAAACAACTGCGGTTGCCAACCCGCTGGTACGACTTTCCATTGACTCCCATCGAGTTGGGGGTATTTTTACAGAAAAGTTACACTATTATAAGCACACAGACAAAGTTACAACATGCGGAAGCGCGTAATTTTTGAGAAAAAAGTTATTGAAAATCAATTATTCTTGCATTGTTTATATTTAATCCTACCATAAAACTGACGCCATTTTGTAATGTCATTGTCAGTAGGGATGTCGATTCTTTACGAAAAAGATCGATTTTTTAAATAGATTCCAATTGTAAGCTGATGTATCGATTCCCAAAAATCGATTTCTAAAATATCTATATTTTTTTCATGTTTGCATTTATAATGTAAATATAAATCCATTTTATGAGGAAAAAATCCCCTTCATCATAAAATATAGGGGGACTGATTCAGAAGGATTTCTGTATCTATTTTGAGACTGCTACGTCTCCGGCGCTGCGGGAAGAGCAGCCTCTACGCCTTAGCGTAACAAATCGTAGGCATCGGACGAGCCGGAGCGGCTGAGGCTGGTCGCCGAAGGCGACCAACAAGCCGAAGCTGCGGAGGCCGTTCCTGCTACGCGCCTCCGGCTCTTTAAAACTACTCTAGGGGTAGGACAGACTGGTACCAGGTGGAGTCGTGGTGGAGTGGGGAATCAATTCGGTTCTTTGACATAAGTTGAACCTAACCTATTTTGTTTGTTATCTGCCCTAATTGGTACTGTTAAAATAAAACAAATTTCAATAAGAGATCTTTATTATGGCGTTTTCTTGTTTTTCATAAAATGGAATTATATTTACATTATAAATACAAACATAAAAAAAAATATAGATATTTTAGAAATCGATTTTTTGTGAATCGATACATCAGCTTACAATTCGAATCTATTTAAAAATCTGACGACAATGACATTACAAAATGGCGTCAGTTTTATGGTAGGATTAAATATAAACAATGCAAGAATAATTGATTTTCAATAACTTTTTTCTCAAAAATTACGCGTTTCCGCATGTTGTAACTTTGTGTGTGTGCTTATAATAGTGTAAGTTTTCTTTAAAAATACGTATCAACCCCCAACTCGACGGGAGGGAATGGAAAGCTAAGCCAACCCGCTTGCCAAGCTTGGCAACTATGACAAAATCCCCCCATGAGACAATCTATGTGGGAAGCCTATTTCAGGACTTTTATAGGCTGTAATGGATGGATGGATGGATGGATGGAAGCATACCTTAGTAATATGAGGGTGGGTTGAAAAATTCTGAGCCCGACTAAGAAAACAAAGAAAGTAATATTTAAAAAAAAATGTTTTATTTATCTACATATCCTCCCCTTGTCTCAATAGACTTATTCAATCGATGCTCCAGCGTTTTAATGCCGCTCTTATACGCCGATTCCTCTAACTCTTCAAAAAAAGTTCCGTCTCAGCTATCACCTCTTAGTTTGTGGAAAACTTTCTTCCAGCCAGATGTTTTTTCAATTTAGGGAACAGTCCGACGATGCTAAATCAGCGAATATGGGTGATGGTTTAATACTTCGAAACGGAAGTTCTTGGAGCTTAGGCGTTGCAATAACAAACTTGTGTGCCGGTGGATTATCCTGATGAAAGAGATTTTTTTTTGCCAATCCCAGCCGTTTTTCACGATTTTTGTTGGCTAGTTTATCTAACTGGTTTAGCGTAGTATAGGCCTCATATAGTCTGTCCTTTGGGAAGGTAGCCAATAATAGTATATTTCATTACGAGTGCGGAAAGCCTGTCATTGCAAAGAGTTCCGACAAATGTCTACCCGAGCCGAGGCGCAGACGAAAGTGAGGGTTGACAGTCGGAACAAGTTGTAATGACGGTTCCGCACGTGTACTGAACAACTATTTTTAATACGCTTGCGAAAAAATGAAGCAATTTAATAAAGAACATTTTTGGAAAATGGCGCCAACCGTAAAAGAATATAAGCAGAGATTTTTTTTGTTTTCTTCATCCATTCTGGGTAGGCAAAGGGAACTATGCCCATACAGCCAAGACTTCAGTAGAATTTTTTTATTGATAGACAATGAAAATTAAATTTAATGAGATGAAATGAAATGAAACCTAACCTAACTCATTGATTCAAATCATTAAATCTGATATTGAAACAAATTAGTAGCTTCTTTTTAGAAATATTTGCATGAGTCATAAAAACTTCTATGAATTTTCTTTAGTAAAAACTTCATGGTTGGTTTTTTTCTTTTTAATAGACATTATTTTGACAGTTGGCAAAGATAACGCACGAGTTCGGAAAAGGTAAAGAAAAAGCACGAGTATGTAATAGCCCACATCCCGAACGCTATACGTCCCTGCAATACGCCACTTTTTGAGCAACTGTATTAAAAAAATAATTTCATTGTAATCCCAAAATACTAATGCCATCACTTTTGCCACCAACTTTTCCGACTTTGCTTTCTTCGGTGGCCGAGAATAGCTATGTTTCTACTGTTTCAACTGATTTTTTTTGTCTCAGGAATATAATATGGTGGTCCATGTTTCATCAGTGGTTATAAATCTTAAAAAGTAGCTAGTATTTGATCGAAACAAGGCCAGACACCTTCATTCCTAGTTCGTCGGTTAAAATATGAAACATCCGCTCAGTTGAGATCCCTATAATGTCACTTATTACCCGCAATTTCAGTCTTCGGTCTTTTAAAACCATTTTATGAATTTTGTAGATGATTTTGACGTGATGAACGTCGGCGGCCTTCCGCTCCTCTAATTATCTTCGACGCTTTCTATGCTTTGTTTGAATAAAGCTGCCCACATTTTTAATGTGGAATACGAAGGCGCAGATTCACCTAATGTGTTATCCATTTCTTCCTTGATTTTGCTTCGTGTAATTCTTTTGACGAAATATCACGGATTTTATTTCAATTTTTTTCCATTTTCCGGGAGAAAAGCAGATGCGCCAGGACAAAAAAAAATCATAGCAAAATAATTACGCAACCTAACACAATGGCACTGACATACGATTAAATAAAGAATCAAGCTATCGAATGAGCATACACATATTTACATCCTACCCTCAAATCTCGGTTAGGCCGAGAACTTTTCAAACCGCCCTCGTATAATACTTCTAATAGTGTAATTTAAAATTATTATATATTATGTATGGCGTGGGCCACCCAGTATGGTGGATACTAATTAATATATTTTACTTAGTTTAGTAAACTTAAGTTGTCTATACAAGATTATACGAGTGATAAACATTCTTCGAATTTACTTAACTACTTACTTACTTAAGCCACCACACTTAGTCATTGTTTTTGATATAATAGGGTGACAGATAAGCAAATAGTTCATAATGGTAAAAAGCCAGTACAGTTCAAAGCCAAGAAGTAATTTGTCACCTCGAAGATTGAGGGAATCCCTCACAGCCTAACGAAAAGAATAATATATAAAGAATGGCTCTCACTTCTAACATTTCTGAAACATTACGTTGCAGTTTGGTGAAGAAAAAGGTACTAGTCTTAGGCAAAAGAAGCCTGCCTAGAACTAGAACCCAACCTCTAGAATCTAGAAAAAACTGAATGAAAACTTTTCAACAGGTTCATGCTCGTATCAAGTACTGTATGCGAAGAAGGTCTCCAGCTAATGGTCACAGTGTTAAAAAGATCTAAAAATGTATCCCTGAGAACAAATCTGACAATCGCCTTTGCGGATCTCACATTACGCTTCCCTAATCTAACGCAGCCTTGGACGCATCACATCTATCACATGTGAGTTTTCTCATCATTTAACTATTTATTCATTGAGACAGTATTTAAAATGGTTGCTATGAAGTACTTCGAATAAATATATTAAAAGAATCCAGCGTCCCATTTTCGCCTATGGGTTTCGTAAGAGGTGATTATGGATAATTGAAATGGAAAAATCATATGACTTCTGTTCGTGACGTCTTGTTTATAACATAGGAAGACTTCGCACCGTGGCTGCGCCCGCGTATTTGTGATGTCCTACGTCTTGAACGTCTCTTTTACCGCTGGCGAGGTGGATATGGCGATGGTGGTATCCGCGTGAGCCGGACGGGGTTCACTCAATATCTCTGACATAAACGACCGCTTTCTGTACTTTGTTTATCTTTTTTGCATCATCATCCGAATTTCTATATATTTACATGTTAATTTGAATCAAACATTACCTATACTAAAGTATACTTGTGTATCTATTAAAAACACTTCCGACAGTTTGTGACTCGTTTAAGCCACGTGTAAAATGCCCATATAAAATTTCCATTACTTTATATTTTTATGAAATATATTTGTTTAAAGAAATTATATTTTACATTACCAACATGGCTATAGTGATGTCTTATATTAAAGTCGTAACTAAGTTAGAAGAAAATAAAAATATATTATATTTATTTTCTCATAGCCTACACATATAAAACTTATATTTATATTTCAGTTTAAGTGACGAGGAGCTAGAGGTTCGTCAGTGCGCTGTTAAAATGCTGTCATTTCTCGTACTCCATGAGATGGTTCGCGTTAAAGGGCAAATAGCAGACATGGCTTTATGCTGTGCTGACAAAGATGCCCGCGTGGCCGCCATGACACGCTTGTTCTTCAAGCAACTGTCACAGAAGGGTAATGCATTATACAATGTGATGCCTGATATTATATCACGTCTGAGCGACCCCGAGCTCAATGTTCCTGAAGAGCAGTATAGAGTTATTATGAAGTAAGCTATATTGTTAATTATTATAAAGTTGTTTTAGTTGCAATTTACTATGTTTTCAACCAACGCACATTGGTTTATTAAAATATAATTTAAAATTTTATACAACCGACTTCAATATAAATTATTAAGAATAACTCAAAAACTATTTGTCAGACCTTGATCAAAAATCGGTTCACCTAGAAAAAAATTATGAGGTAACACACATAAAAAAGAACGTACAGTCGAATTAAGTAACCTTCTCCTTTTTAAGTCGATAGAAAATGTATATCATTATGTTTTTAGTAATTATTCAACATTCTTTTTTATATAAGAGAGGACAAATGAGCATGCGGGTCACCTGATAGTAAGAGACCGCCGCCCATGAACACTTGCAACACCAGGTGAATTGCAGATGCATTGCAGCTTTAAAAAAAAGTGAGTTTATTTTTGAAGATCCCAAGTACATGATATGGATGATATCGCGAGTTTTGTCGCGATGTGCGATGTGCATTCTTTCTATATTTAATAAGTAATCGAAAACATGTTTAATACTCAGTTCAACATAAAAATTCTCAACCGACTAATGTTGTGAATTACGTTGTCATTTCTAAAATCAGAATCAATTTTAGATTTCACTTAATTTATTAATTTACAGTAGAACAAGAGGGACATTTGTTGTAAAGTATTCATATTCCTACTTAGGTTATGTTCTCTTTATGTGTCAATGGGACTTTTTATGTTTTAGGCCACTATTACATTATCACAATGTTTTCTTCATAGAAATATGATGTCAATAACTCATTACAGTCTGTGATAGCCATCAGTCAAATATGCTCGAGTAAAAAAGAAATAAGTATCTAAAAAGAGCGGCAAAAGAAGAGGATGTATGTGGGTCAGAATTGGGAAGAGTTGAGATTAGAAGATACGAAATTTTATATGACGTATATCCGAATGGATGAACACGTATTCAATTATTTGCTAACAAAATTGACTTCAAAATTTTGTCATTTTAATATTCCATTCAAACATCGACATTCGACGTCTTTTTCTATCCTCGTTTTAAGGTTGCATTATGATCATCTGCCGACTTCAAAAAGGAGACGGTACTCAATTCGACTGTATGTTTTTTTGTGTCATATCATAGCTTTTTACTGGGTGAACCGATTTAGATGATTCTTTTTTTATTTGAAAGCTGGTTCTTCACATGTGGTCCTATATGAATTTGATTAAGGTCAGATCAACAGTTTTTGAGTTATTCTTAATAATTTATATTGAAGTCGGCTGTACAAAATTTATAATTTTAAATTATTCTCATGAATATAGTGTTAAACCGGATACACCACGTATCATTAGTAATATGAGTCAAATGTACAAACTAAATTGTAATAGTTTTTTCATATTTCTATGAATTACATATCTATGATTATTTAGAAGGTATAGTGTATTTGCAATCGAACAGTTAAATAGAAATCATTATAACGACGGCACGACTTATCACCAACACTGAATACTATGTATATCATTTTGGATTTTGTAAAAATACCTAAAAACATACTTCAATTTTCAGATACATAACTTCTCTAATACAAAAAGATCGACAGATGGAAGCACTAATAGAGAAGTTATGCCAGCGATTTAAACTCTCGACAGAGGAAAGGCAATGGCGAGACCTGGCATTTTGTTTGTCGTTATTTACATACAATGAACGATCACTAAAGAAATTGATAGAGAATTTGGATTGCTTTAAGGACAAGTTACACTGTTCCGGCGTAATGGAGTCATTTACTGTTCTCATGAATAATACTTCGAAAATGGCTAGAAACGAAATAAAGGTATAGTAAATAATAAAGTCCTAAAAACATAAAAATATAAATTTATGTCTAGTGAAATAGGTAATGCTGAAGTTTGAAATCGCTTTATACACTAATATCTAAAATGTATTTTTTCCTAAACCTTTCTATAGTCGTTAGTAACAGAACTAGGAGACAAGATAGAAGAATGTTTTGCGGTGCGTGAAGGGGAGGAAGGGGAGAAAGTGGACGGCAGCGAGGGCGCGGGCGGCCGGGCGGCGCGCGCCACGCCGCGCAAGGCCGCGCCCCGCCGCGCCCGGAGGCGCTCGTCGTCCAGCCCTGATGAGGTATTATTTACTAACCAACTAGCCTCATTTCCAGTAAAAAGAGTCTCCGATTCTCTGTACTCACCATACAAAACAACAGCGTTAAGCTGCTATTTTACGCTGGTATTCTGTCAGAGCGTGGTCCTTCCCCGGTCAAGCCGACCCATTTGTGCTGCAACTATAATATAACTGATCTGTTCTTTATCTTTATGAATATTCGAAAAATTAAGCTAATTTTCTCACATGTGCATTTGTTATTCAGACGTATAAAAATAACTTTTTTTTACCTCTTTTTTTTTAAACCTCGAACAATATTTTTTTTTATTTAAAAAAATAATTGTATGCAAATTGTATGTGATTTTATTACCTCTACATTGTCTGGGGAATAAGAGGATTGTCAAAGACCCCGCTTTACTTAGCTTTAGCATCGGGTTGTTAGAAGGATATATCCTTCTAACATATCTTTTTTATACGATTAGGGTGACAAACGAGGACACAGACTTACTTGATAGTAAATGGTTACTGTGGCCCATAGAAATTTACATCTATCCTCGATTACTAATTAAAATACAGATGCGTTGTTACCCGTAAGGACTAACATGGAATGCCTCATTACCAGTAAAAAGAGTCTCCGGTTCTCTGTACTCACCATACAAAACAACAGCGTTAAGCTGCTATTTTACGCTGGTATTCTGTCAGAGCGTGGTCCTTCCCCGGTCAAGCCGACCCATTTGTGCTACAACTATAATATAACTGATCTGTTCTTTTTAAGATAGTTTTGAATATGTGAAAAATTAAGCTAATTTTCTCACATGTGCATTTGTTATTCAAACGTATAAAAATAACTTTTTACCTCTTTTTTTTTAAACCTCGAACAATATTTTTTTTTTATTTAAAAAAATAATTGTATGCAAATTGTATGTGATTTTATTACCTCTACATTGTCTGGGGAATAAGAGGATTGTCAAAGACCCCGCTTTACTTAGCTTTAGCATCGGGTAGTGTCAGTAAAAGGTAATAAAACCACATAAAATAAAAAAAAATTAATAAAATTAAGAAATATATAGTCGAGTTTTTAAAATAAAGTTATTTATATAGGTTTGAATACTCATCCTGATAACGTACTTAACGGGAACCACATGGTTTTATTATATGTTGTATAGCTGAATTTTTAACTTTATAGAACGAACCACCAAATAAACCATCTGACACACCGCAATCAGTGAGGAAATCGAGAAGAAAAATTGTACCAAGAAACAAAACTGTCGCAAATGATTCAGAAGACTCAGGTATGTTAATGTGATGATGTACCATAAAGAATTGTTATTTTCATACAATTTTTATGTTAAAATAAATATATTTTTCAGATGACGATGAATTTCAGAAAAAACCCGACGACAATGTTTTCAAAAAACCTGCATCAAGAAAAGGAACTCGTAGGAGAAATTAAACATATAAAATATGTATTTATTATTTTTAATAAACAATTATTTTTTAAAGTTGCATATTTGAGATTAACTGCAAAGCAAATTTTTGACATATAAATGAAAAACTGTAATAGTATTTAGTCTAGTTTAGTGTAGCTTACTATATCCGACTAGAGGTTTTATTAGCTGTATAGGTTCTTGCACTAGACATAATGTTATAGGTGGCTGAGCAAGTTAAAACTAAACGGCCGCCGTCCCGGAGCGTAGACGCTGGTGCATTTTTTTTCGATACGGATTGTTAAAACCTTTTTTGGGCGCATATTTACTTTATACGTTTATTCCATTGATGCACATCGAAGTTTTAACTATCGGAGGGTTAACGAAATCACCACCGAAACACTACATACCGGGCAAATTTTATTCCATTGATTCACATAGAAGTTTTAACTATCGGAGAGTCAATGAACTCACCACCAAAACACTATATACCGGGCGAAGTTTATTCCATTGATTCACATCGAAGTTTTAACTATCGGAGAGTCAACGAACTCACCACCAAAACACTACATACCGGGCAAAGTTTATTCCATTGATTCACATCGAAGTTTTAACTATCGGAGAGTCAATGAACTCACCACCAAAACACTACATACCGGGCAAAGTTTATTCCATTGATTCACATCGAAGTTTTAACTATCGTTGAGTAAACAAACTCACCACCGAAACACTACATACCAGGCAAAGTTTATTCCATTGATTCACATAGAAGTTTTAACTATCGTTGAGTAAACAAACTCACCACCGAAACACTACATACCAGGCAAAGTTTATTCCATTGATTCACATAGAAGTTTTAACTATCGGAGAGTCAATGAACTCACCACCAAAACACTACATACCGGGCAAAGTTTATTCCATTGATTCACATCGAAGTTTTAACTATCGGAGAGTCAACGAAATCACCACCAAAACACTATGATTCAGAAGACTCAGGTATGTTAATGTGATGATGTACCATAAAAAATTGTGATTTTCATACAATTTTTATTTTAAAATAAATATATTTTTCAGGTGACAATGAATTTCAGAAAAAACCTGACGACAATGTTTTTAAAAAACCTGCATCAAGAAAAGGAACTCGTAGGAGAAATTGAACATATAAAATATGTATTTATTATTTTTAATAAACAATTATTTTTTAAAGTTGCATATTTGAGATTAACTGCAAAGCAAATTTTTCACATATGAATGAAAAACTTTAATAGTATTTAGTCTAGTTTAGTGTAGCTTACTATATCCGACTAGAGGATTTATTAGCTGTATAGGTTCTTGCAGTGGACATAATCTTATAGGTGGCTGAGCAAGTTAAAACTAAACGGCCGCCGTCCCGGAGCGTAGACGCCGGTGCATTTTTTTCGATACGGATTATTAAAACCTTTTTTGGGCGCATATTTACTTTATACGTTTATTCCATTGATGCACATCGAAGTTTTACTATCGGAGGGTTAACGAAATCACCACCAAAACACTACATACCGGGCAAAGTTTATGCCATTGATTCACATCGAAGTTTTAACTATCGGAGAGTCAATGAACTCACCACCAAACAACTACATACCGGGCAAAGTTTATTCCATTGCTTCACATAGAAGTTTTAACTATCGGAGAGTCAATGAACTCACCACCAAAACACTACATACCGGGCAAAGTTTATTCCATTGATTCACATCGAAGTTTTAACTATCGTTGAGCAAACAAACTCACCACCGAAACACTACATACCAGGCAAAGTTTATTCCATTGATTCACATAGAAGTTTTAACTATCGGAGAGTCAATGAACTCACCACCAAAACACTACATACCGGGCAAAGTTTATTCCATTGATTCACATCGAAGTTTTAACTATCGTTGAGTAAACAAACTCACCACCGAAACACTACATACCGGGCAAAGTTTATTCCATTGATTCACATCGAAGTTTTAACTATCGGAGAGTCAATGAACTCACCACCAAAACACTACATACCGGGCAAAGTTTATTCCATTGATTCACATCGAAGTTTTAACTATCGTTGAGTAAACAAACTCACCACCGAAACACTACATACCGGGCAAAGTTTATTCCATTGATTCACATCGAAGTTTTAACTATCGGAGAGTCAATGAACTCACCACCAAAACGCTACATACCGGGCAAAGTTTATTCCATTGATTTACATCGAAGTTTTAACTATCGTTGAGTAAACAAACTCACCACCGAAACACTACATACCAGGCAAAGTTTATGCCATTGATGCACATCGAAGTTTTAACTATCGGAGGGTTAACGAAATCACCACCGAAACACTACATACCGGACAAATTTTATTTCATTGATTCACATCGAAGTTTTAACTATCGGAGAGTCTATAAACTAAACACCGAAGCACTACATACCAGGCAAAGTTTATTCCAATGATTCACATCGAAGTTTTAACGCTACATACCAGGCAAAGTTTATGCCATTGATTCACGTCGAAGTTTTAACTATCGGAGAGTCAACGAACTCACCACCAAAACACTACGTACCGGGCAAAGTTTATGCCATTGATTCACATCGAAGTTTTAACTATCGGAGAGTCAACGAACTCGCCACCAAAACACTACATACCAGGCAAAGTTTATTCCATTGATTCACATCGAAGTTTTAACTATCGGAGAGTCTATGAACTCAACACCGAAGCACTACATACCAGGCAAAGTTTATTCCAATGATTCACATCGAAGTTTTAACTATCGGCGAGTAAACGAACTTACCACCGAAACACTACATACCGGGCAAAGTTTATGCCATTGATTCACATCGAAGTTTTAACTATCGGAGAGTCAACGAACTCACCACCAAAACACTACATACCGGGCAAAGTTTATTCCATTGATTCACATCGAAGTTTTAACTATCGGAGAGTCAACGAACTCACCACCAAAACACTACATACCGGGCAAAGTTTATTCCATTGATTCACATCGAAGTTTTAACTATCAGAGAGTCAAGGAAATCACCACTAAAACACTACATACCGGGCAAAGTTTATGCCATTGATTCACATGGAAGTTTTAACTACCGGAGAGTCAACGAATTCACCACCAAAATACTACATACCGGGCAAAGTTTATGCCATTGATTCACATCGAAGTTTTAACTATCGGAGAGTCAAGGAAATCACCACCAAAACACTACATACCGGGCAAAGTTTATTCCATTGATTCACATCGAAGTTTTAACTATCGGAGAGTCAATGAACTCACCACCAAAACACTACATACCGGGCAAAGTTTATTCCATTGATTCACATCGAAGTTTTAACTATCGTTGAGTAAACAAACTCACCACCGAAACACTACATACCAGGCAAAGTTTATGCCATTGATGCACATCGAAGTTTTAACTATTGGAGGGTTAACGAAATCACCACCGAAACACTACATACCGGACAAATTTTATTTCATTGATTTACATCGAAGTTTTAACTATCGGAGAGTCTATGAACTAAACACCGAAGCACTACATACCAGGCAAAGTTGATTCCAATGATTCACATCGAAGTTTTAACACTACATACCAGGCAAAGTTTATGCCATTGATTCACGTCGAAGTTTTAACTATCGGAGAGTCAACGAACTCACCACCGAAACACTACATACGGGACAAATTTTATTTCATTGCTTCACATCGAAGTTTTAACTATCGGAGAGTCTATAAACTAAACACCGAAGCACTACATACCAGGCAAAGTTTATTCCAATGATTCACATCGAAGTTTTAACTATCGGAGAGTCAACGAACTCACCACCAAAACACTACGTACCGGGCAAAGTTTATGCCATTGATTCACATCGAAGTTTTAACTATCGGAGAGTCAACGAACTCACCACCAAAACACTACATACCGGGCAAAGTTTATTCCATTGATTCACATCGAAGTTTTAACTATCGGAGAGTCAAGGAAATCACCACCAAAACACTACATACCGGGCAAAGTTTATTCCATTGATTCACATCGAAGTTTTAACTATCGGAGAGTCAACGAACTCACCACCAAAACACTACATACCGGGCAAAGTTTATTCCATTGATTCACATCGAAGCTTTAACTATCGGAGAGTCAACGAACTCACCACCAAAACACTACATACCGGGCAAAGTTTATTCCATTGATTCACATCGAAGCTTTAACTATCGGAGAGTCTACGAACTCACCACCAAAACACTACATTCCGGGCAAAGTTTATTCCACTGATTCACATCGAAGTTTTAACTATCGGAGAGTCAACGAACTCACCACCAAAATACTACATACCGGGCAAAGTTTATGCCATTGATTCACATGGAAGTTTTAACTATCGGCGAGTAAATGAACTCACCACTAAAACACTACATACCGGGCAAAGTTTATTCCATTGATTCACATCGAAGTTTTAACTATCGGAGAGTCAACGAACTCACCACTAAAACACTACATACTGGGCAAAGTTTATTCCATTGATTCACATCGAAGTTTTAACTATCGGAGAGTCTATGAACTCAACACCGAAGCACTACATACCGGGCAAAGTTTATTCCATTGATTCACATCGAAGCTTTAACTATCGGAGAGTCAACGAACTCACCACCAAAACACTACATACCGGGCAAAGTTTATTCCATTGATTCACATCGAAGCTTTAACTATCAGAGAGTCAACGAACTCACCACCAAAACACTACATACCGGGCAAAGTATTATTCCATTGATTCACATCGAAGCTTTAACTATCAGAGAGTCAACGAACTCACCACCGAAACACTACATACCGGGCAAAGTTTATTCCATTGATTCACATCGAAGTTTTAACTATCGGAGAGTCAACGAACTCACCACCAAAACACTACATACCGGGCAAAGTTTATTTCATTGATTCACATCGAAGTTTTAACTATCGGAGAGTCTATGAACTAAACACCGAAGCACTACATACCAGGCAAAGTTTATTCCAATGATT